TTTGTTATAATTGGTGAATCTGAATGAAATTTTGTATAAGTCATGTTTTTTTAGTACTTAATATATTTATATAAAAAAATTTAATCTTTATTTTTTTAAAATTTTTGTTTATAACAATAAAACTAATAACAAATAAAATAATCTATAAAAATGTGTTGCTCATTGCTGAAAACAGAATGTTATGAACACAACTTTCACATGTATGTAGTTTGTTTAAAGCGTAAATATTAATATGTGTCTTATGACTGGAGAACCTCCTTAATATATATATACACACAGGGTTGGCAAACGTTACTTTTCAGTTACTTTGTCGTTACTTTTTATAGTAAACAATTTGATGACGATGTTGCAATTTTTTATGACGATAACGCTAACTAACTAAACGCTAAGGTTGTACTAAAGTTAGAAAAGTCACTTTCAAAAATAACTTGTCACTATTATGCGTTACACCGAAAAAATTATAAGTATAACGAGTAACGCATAACGTTACTCGTTACTAAAAAGTAACGCGTTACAAATTAGGAGTTATTTTTTTCAGTAACGAATGACTTTTTCAATCCATTATAAGTAACGATTGACTTTTCTAACTCTGATGTTAGCATTATCATCATAAAAAATTCACAATGTCATTATCAAATTGTTATTATAACAAGGTAACGATCAACAAAGTAACGGCGTTACAAGTAACGCGTTACTTGCCAACCTTGTATATATATATATATTACGAACCTTCTTAATAATACTAACGATTGAAATTAATTCATGCAAATTAAATTTCAACAATGTATGCAATAGATATGTCTTTGTGATTCCTAATTTTTATATTATACATATTATTTGTAACGATCGCGTTATATAATATATATTTAAACCCAGGATTACGAACGATAAGCTTGTCTAACGCCATTGCTGAATTACCTTTTCTTCGTCGTCCCAATTACTCTTATTATCATCTTCCTCGTCATCGTCATCGGAAAATTCTGCATTAATGGCTTTGGCCATCTCTCTATCCTTGTCCTTCACGCTGGTCCCGGATCCCGAGTCCTTTTTACTTCCGGGTAGCCTAGTAGTACCGCTACTAATGACACAGCAATTTTGTTTTGACTTATATTATTTTCCAGCATTCCATTTTCGTGCTTCTTTGTCTTTCGTTGTATCATCGAGCAAGACTTGCTTATAGATGATACGTAGAAAATATCGCGATAGTATCGGTTTAATA